CGGCTGCTGCCGTTACCGCCTGGTTAATTAGTGAGCGGAGCGGGCCAGCCGGCTTTCACTGATTTGGTCCTAGAAAGTGCTTGAGGGGTAAAGGCTTGGGTTGCTTTATTTCATATGCTGCTGTTAAGAGGACATCATACCAGCGCCTTTTGACACCCGCTCACTGACGCCAACGCAGCCACCGTAAGCTTTCTTCAATGTTTGTCCCAACCCCTGGCATAAGCCGTTATCTTTATTACTAGTTCATGCTTGGACTTTGCACTCATATAGTACATTAAAAGGAGATAAAGTAACTCTGAGTTTTATTTTATAAATAGAGGAGTCTGGGGTTTGGTTTCTTTTGTTGTGGTTTTTTTTCAAACTGTCACAGGCCCTGCACCAAGAATGGAATGGTAGGGGCAGTTGATGCTGCCAAACCTTGAACCACGCACCCCCGCCACGGCAGCAGCCGTGCACCCACCACCTGCTGGGAGCCAAGCGGGCTCAGCTCTCCTGCGGTGGAGCTTCCTTCAGGGAGGATTTTAGCGCTTTAATCGCAGTGTGTTTGTTAAATCCTTGCCTCGCTAGAAACATACAGCAGCAAATTAAACAGTCGAAGGTGAGATTTCCGCTAGCTCCTGCTCCTTGGGAAGAGCGTGGAACAGCCCAACGCGTACGCTAACCACCGCAGCGTACCGTAACTATGCTTCTCCTTCTAGCAGATGGCAGTAAGTTTAGCAGCTTGCTTTTCCAGTATCGTGCGTTCCGATTAGGAAGGCTTTATCAAGCAGCTTGCTCTAGGATAGTCATGTTTTGTCACTTTACACGGAGAAATTCTCCCTGGCAGTCTGCGTCACACAGCATAAAGCGCTCCTGGCTGCTGCAGGAAGCCAGCTGCCGCGTTTTGTCACTTCGGAGCAGCGCTGTCAGGCATCGCCCGGGGTCAGCGCTGAGCTCCTGGCCCAGCGGCAACACGGACCCCGTTGCTGCTGTGGAACTCCGTTTCTTCCGCTTGCAGCTTCAGCGTGCGCCCTCCCCTCTGGACCCGTCGCACAAGGGGCTGGTGGATGCTTTAACCCACGCCAACGAGAAAGCATTTTTACCTGTAGGTACTACTAGAACGTGCGGCTGGTGCCTCCAGACGTGGAGAACTTGCAGTAACGGTGAACACAGTGAAGCCTTTTGGGGTTCCTGACTGGTGCGATCGTGGGCACGTGCGCCGCAGCAGCCTCCAAGGCAGCTCAGGGAGGGGGGGGAAACAAGTAGCTAACCCCAAACCCCGCTGTCCTAGGCGGGAGCAGCAATTTAAGGCAATCCCAAGGCCTGTTTCAGCTACCTCCAGCCGGGATGCTCTGGGAAGGATAGCGAGGTATGTTCTGTTTGGAACAGGTGCAGTACTTCTTCAAGATCCTGGACAACTAACAGCCTCCAGCCTCGCCCCACGCAAGAGACGAGCACACGGCACGGTGTGTTCATTCATTTATTTGTCCAATGTTTCAACCTGACCGAAATACAAGATCAACAAGAGCACTGTACTCCTGGCTATTGTTACATGTTAGAACATAGAGTTTTGCACTTTAGACAACATTTAACACCATTCTATGGGGTACTGCATTGCTTTTATAAAGTTTAAAATAAAGATTTATTTTCAAACATGTGACTTTGGTTTATTTCATACATTACACTTTCTTGCAGAAAAAATAAAATTGTACAACTGCATAAATATAAAATTCTTCCACCATGAAAATGGTTAAAACATTCAATAAAGACATTAGCACCACAGTGTGCGATGCCTCCAGCAGGAAAAAAGAAAAAAGAAAAAAAGAAAAAAGAAAACATACAAAGCAAAGAGTGATGCCTATCACCGAGGAGAGTGATAGTCTGACCCGGTCTCTCACACAGCGTACTGGAGGATGAGGGAGAAGGTGGAGAGAGACAGCATTCGCTACAAAGCACAGTACACAATCACCTATTCTCTTGAACGTCACTTAAGTTAGTTTCCCCTGCCACCCCTCCAAATAAAATACCCTAACACCACAGGAGAGTCAGAAGCCGTATGGAGTGCTGTTAAATATAGTCTCACAGGTGGGCCTGTCTTTGAAAAGGAACAAAATAATGAGAAGTATCATGCCAGTTCTCGTCCCATTGAGTATTTACACCTTGGACAGCAAAAGTCTTTGCTCACAAGAAGTAGAAAACAGATACAATAACATGGCTTGAAAAATGACCAGAGTATGCACCTATAGTACTGTACACTAAATAAAATACACAAGGCAGCAATACTTAGGGGCCAGAAACACTGCTTACTACAAGTCAGTCATGGAATCATAATTTACAGTAAAAATGGGCATGTCCCAAGGCTCAATTTTGTTTTCTTTTGTCATTTACAGTAGAATAAATATTTGTCGCTATTGCTACACTTCGTTTACATTCTAACCTAGTAAATGCAGAAAGCTAGTGTAAAGCATATAGATTACGTGTAGGTCCCATACGTATGACAGTTTGTTCAAGACTAGTAGGTTTTCTTTTTTGTTCTTTTTTTTTTTTTTTTTTTTTTTTTTTTTTTTTTTTTTTACCTTTTTAAATGGCTAGGAGGAGGAGGGGGGGAGAGAGTTGTGCTTACAATCAGCTGCTTTTTATGTCAAATTTAATATCAAAGCGTCCCTGGAAGCGGTCTTTGTCGCTGTACTGGATGTTCTGCCCGTAGGCCCTGCATTCCACGCGCACCTCCATGTCGTAGGTCAGGTTGGTGAACTGCACCGCCACCAGTGGCTGCAGGTACCGCGGCTGCAGGAGCTTGCCGTAGTAGGGGTAGTACTGCAGGGCAAAGCCAGGGTAGCCACCCATCCCATAGTACTCCACCGTGCCTATTTTGTCTACATCGTCCTCTCTCTAGGGAGGCAAGAAAAGGAAGAACAAACGATGACAATCGCCCAAACGCGACATTGTGCAGCCCTTTTCCCTAGCGGCATCCCTTTTTCACCAAGACCGCGCCCTCGCTTTGGTCACTCGGCGCTCACCCCGCAGCAGGAGGGCGGCCGGGTGGGGGGGAAGGACGCTGAGGCGCTGGCTGACCAGCAGCCGGGCAGTAAGCACCTCCCAGCACACATAAGCCAGGAAAAGGGCTTTATTTAAAAACTCAACTGCTTCTTTACGTGTTCAGAAGTCACCACAGATTCTTTGGCTAAAAAAAAAAAAAAAGTTTGCTGCTTCTCAGCTGCTTTACAATGCCAAGTAAATACCTCGTCCCTGGAGTCCTTTTTCCAGCCATCCCTGCTAGGAGCTCCACTGCAGCACTGGGAAGCAAAATAGCTACTTCTGAGGACACCCTCTGCTCTGCAGCCCTGCTTCTACCCCCTCCCTGTGAGGGCAGCGCTAACTACCATTTGTCACCAGCAGGGGTTTGAGAAACTCCTGTTCCGAAGGGGGAGACAGCCCGCGTAAGAACCACCCCCAGCATCTGCAGAAAGGCAGGGAGGTCACTACACTTGGACAAAGACTTCGACAGTCTTCCCCTGCAGCTTCCCGCCTCCGCCCTACGCTGTTTCAACTTACCTTCGCGGTGCAGTAGACAGGGATGAGATATGGGTTGTATTTTGCCATAACCTCTGGAGGGAGGCTGTCATTTACCGGAGCCTAGAAGAAACCCAAAACAAGGGGATGTTACAGACCGGACGCTTCTCTGCAGACCGCAGCACCTTTGCAGCAGCACAGCTCGGAGGTACCAAACACGTGCCATTAACCGGAACCCCTTCTAGCTCAGCTTCAGAGGCAACAGCTCTTGGTGGGGGTTCTTGGAACAGACACTCAGCGTAGAAGCCGGGGGACTTAACCCCAGCAGAGCTTTTGTCTGTTCTTACAGCTTTACTGCTGTGGATACCAAAGCAAGCGATGCTGCTGTTTTCCATTTCGCGGTGTCATTAGGGAGAGTGTCTCACGACAGAGCGCTAGCTAGCGGGGCGCGCTCGTGCGAAGCCCAGGCAGCGGCAGGAAGAGGCGGCTGGGACTGGAAATGCACAGGGAAGAACCAAGAGCGGCAGTCACGCCCTGACGTGGCTGAACTTCGACAGCACCTACAGGGCAGGACAAAGGCTCCGAGGATGGCAGGGAAGGGCGGGAGCGCCAGCTCTGGTGCTGGTCTTTGGTCTCTTAACACGTGAAGTAGCTTTGCTTCACAACCTTGCAGGTCTCAGCTCTGCTGTACAGACACCTTGCCCAACACGGGAGCTATAGTGTCTCTGCTGGAGCGTGGAATGAAGAAAACAAATATTGCCTTGGATACGCACGTCATTTCTAAATGAAACCTGTGAAGTCATTCCTTGACTAGACCCTGCTGTCTAAGGCGGTCTGGAGCTCTTCAGAGCTCTGTGGCAAAGAGAAGAGGAACACACCAAACCCTTCTCTTCCCCAGTCATCAAACAGGCACATCTTATGTCATCCCACAACCACCGCATACTGGGCACAGCACGTTCTTGCTAACACACACCCGCTGGTCCCACCCTGGACCAGAGGAGCCAAAATTCAACTCACTTCTTTGAGCACAGGGCAGGCTCCCTTCGAAGAAAAACGTTCCTCAAAACACGTTAGCTACCCAGCGCCATTCCCCGTCCTCGACTGCACTGACGGATGGTGGTGAAGCTGGCTTAGCCACCATTTGCACTGCTTTCTATCCAGAAGATGGAGCGGCGGGTTTTGCGCACCACCTTATTCAATAACACGTGCTCTGCTGCTGAATTCTTAAAAAATTTTTCAGCATTTAAATGTGCTGGGGGAAAAAACTAGAAGTAAAAGCCATCCCTGTCCAGACTAACATCCTCCAGCATTACTGCAAACATGCCTTCAGGTGCAGCACAGAGCAAGCGGGTGACAGGGACACCCTACAGCATCTGGGAAACTGCATTAAATAATAGCCTAAAGCCTCCTCACCTTCCTTGCAGTAAGAACTGTGCCTGACTCTCAGATGTAGCTTACGTTTTAGAGACTATGTATCAGTCTGATAGTGAATATTAGCACAACTTCATTTAATTCAGTGGTTTTAGCAAGGCAGGCAACCCTACACTGCCTGAGGAAAGAATGCAGTAGATCGGGGCATGACACAATGGCTGATCTTACTACAGATAGAGTTGGTCTGGGATGGTCCTGTGGAAGCACAAAGGAACTTAAAATGGGTTTTATCATTTGAAGAAAAGACCCCGTTAGAGCAATTCAGTTAGCAGGCTCAGAAGCTACCAGATAAATAACCAGGAGTTGGCACTGTGAGGGTCATCGCTACTTTTTTACTGGATGATCTTTAAGGTCCCTTCCAACCCAAACCATTCTACGATATTTACCAACTTGCGGTGTGCAGATCTCATTGCTTTTTAATGAAAAGTATTTTTAAAGCCAGTTACTCAAATCGTCTCACAATTAAACCCTCTCTGCAGAAGGGGTTTAATACTGATACCTCTCCAGAGACAGAAAAGCAGGCACAGCAAATCTGCAGCCAACTCCTCCTGATCAGTAACTTCTGCTAGAAAGGGAAGAGATACTCGCCTTAGGTTTGAAGCCGATAATTCTGTTGAGCTTGACGAGGATGCATGGCTTCCCATCCCTGTACCCAAAGGTGGGATCGTTTATTCCAGAACAGTTTTCCAGCCATTCACGTTTGAATTTGCAGACCTTCTTCTGACCCTGGGCATCGTTATATGGTCCTCTCTCTTTGTAGTCGGTAGGCATGTCTGTCATGGCGGGGGAACGAAAAGACAACCGTATGCAAGGTGACCTTCTGCTCGTCAGGAACAGCAACACTTACGCTTCCATGCGTAGTTAGGATTTGCCCCTCATCCAAGCGGGTAAGTGACACCACAGACCCGCACCCAGCCACCCCCGCCTGTGGGCTGGTCCCAGACCAGCAAGTTTGCAGCGGTTTTGGTTTTTAACTGGGGATTCTTCCAGACAACAAAAGAACAAATGCATTTGTAATCCACTGGCTCAAAAGGGGGGTTTTGGCAGCTTTTACAAGCGGGTTCCCCTCAGATTTTATATACATGTATTATGAGGTGACAGTCTCACTCTGCATTATTACATATCATCTATTAAAGGTTAATAACTCCCAGATGTTTTGCTGCATTGCGTCAAGAGGACCAACACTGGCCTTAGCAAAGTCATCAGTAAAACCCCCCATGGCTTTCAGAGATGATAAGGTCAGCGCCACGAGCTTTTTGGAGTCGGCTGCAACTTTCTCCACGTGAAATCTAGGAGTTCCCAACCACATAACCTCTACAATAAGCTTCGAGGTACATCCCTGGCCAAATCTGGTCTGTCCAAACTCATCATTTAACGAGCAGCCATACGACTGACACCAGAGCCTGCCAGTTCACCCACACGCCGCTGGTTACAGTAAAAGGAACAGCCAAAGTCAGAGACCACCACTGCTCAACCCTCAGCTTCTGGTGGGCCTGACACAGAGGCACTGGTCAGAGCCCTCAGCTACACGAAGCGACCGCGACTTACCCCCGCAGTCCTGAAATACTATGCTTTCAGTCTGTTGATCAGCGCTGTAGTCCTTTAAGAACTTCTCAAGGTTCTTCACGTACGGCTCAAAACTTTTGGGATCGGAGGCAGTAAAGGAAATTTCTGTCTTTTGTACCTGGGGGATTTGAGTCAGTCCTAAGAAAAGCAAAATCAGGAAGAAAACATTAAGCACACCTCAGAGTTGCTCAGCCTCCGGGCAACGTGGCGCACACCAAGAACGTAACTCATTCTAATAATCTCTATTTTTCAGACTTCAGGACTTGAACAAAACAGCTTAAGCTCACTAGAGGGGAGGCTCTGACAGGCTCTTATCTCCTCCTTCCAACAACAGTCTGGAATATTCATCATGAAGTTTGCATCACTAAGCAGATAAAAATCACAGAATCCAGAAGGGAGGCTATAAGTCAAGGTTTTCCTCAAGAAAAACAGTCAGCTGTGGGTCCCCTGCCCACTTCTGCCTCCTCCCCAAGGACAGAAGGGAAGCTGCCCGTGCCTGAGACCAACCACACACATTGAAGTCCCACGGAAGCCCACTCTTGTGTGTGCATCCCTGGCAGGTTGACTTGGAAGTCTGCAAAACATGCTCTGTGTTTAGGATAAAAATCAGAGCTGCCCACTCACGAACCCTTGCAATAAAGCACGAGAGGCTCCCCAAGTCAGGCGTGGTCTCTGCTGGCTGTGACCCACGTTGCCTTCGTGTAGCCGCCCTCGCAGGATGCGGGGCAGGAGACATTTTCCCAGTCAGTAAATTGATCAGCCTGATGGCTTCCTCTGGTCTTCTCACTCTGTAAGCAGGTATTTCTGATTGCAGAAATAGCCTTCAGAGCTCTCTGATCAGAAGCTCATCACCAACTAGGTGGGTAGGAAATGCTGCTACATGGGAGAGATGTTTAAAAGACTGTCCTAGGTTCTGGGCCGTGTAACCAGCTCCACTTTTGACTTTAGGAGGATGAATAAAAAAAGGAATGCATGGAGAAGAGACAAGACTAGATAGAAGTAACGCCTACAGATGATAAGTGCCAACCCCTTTGCTTTTCATTATGGGACTAGGAAATAGTTGCTCCTGCGTGATGTTTAGGTCACATTTTAATCGAATGCATTGATGCGTGGCTAACGCATTGAACTTAAGTAATGGGAACTGGCGTTCATGCTGCTTTTGCGGCGGCCGCTGTAATTATTGAGGTCTTGACTTCTGTTCAGTTTGTCATCTTCATTTTAGCAAGAACAAGAAAAAGGAACAGGGCAGCAGCATTTGCTTTGACGGCTTTCAGAACAAGCCTGTTGCCAACGAGCTCCCCCGGTGCAAAACCCAGGCAGCTCAGCTGGCTGGCCCCAACCCACAGGAGCTTGTGACTCCAGCAATTTTTCCAAAGCCACTTGAGTGCTTCTACTTAGTCCCTCCTCAAGCCAGCTCACCACCACCACCACCACCCCCGAGCGGGAATTTGTAACCTAGAACAAAGATTAGCTTTGTTCCCCTAAACGCAGCTCCTAGTAGCCAAAGACAGCGAGACACCCAGGGAGTAGCTCGGGGTTTCAAGTTTTATTCCAGGAAGCAGCTTTAATGGCTCAAAACTCCCTCTGGTACAAATTGACCAGGCTGAGCATTAGAAGTTTAGAAGCAACTTACTACTCCACTAGCAGAATTATGTCCTACCCTCCAAAGTCAGTGGCTTTCAACCCCTTTTCAAGTAATTACTTGCATTCTTGCTTCACAGTTATAAATAAGTATATATAAAATAAATAAGCTGGGTTCAATTTTAGTAAGGGACTTCAATCCCATCCTGCCAATCCCTCCTCATGTTACCACTCAGCTGGGAAGCAACAGGCTCAGGGTCACTCGAAGTGGCTATCTGGAATTGCAGCGAAGGCAGGTCTTGGTTCCTCTCCTGCGGCTGCCTTCTCCAGAGTTCAAGTTACAGGTGTGTCATTCAAATGTATAAATATAAAATTCAAGCAAGCTTGGCCAGGCTTGTTAAGCTTCAGTCAGGCTGTTAAACCATTAATTTTGCTCAGGACCTCCCCACCTCCGTTTCTTTACCTTGTCCAAGGTAACGAATAAAGACACCCACGCAGAGGTGGCAGAGGTGAAGGGAAGGTCAGCAATACACACGCCGTGGTGTGAAAAAGCCACCTAGCAGAATATCCCTGTTCCCTGGTTAGGAGAGCCTCGCCACCGATATGTGCAATCCAAAGCCAACCCTCCGCCCATGAGACAAGCGACGTGGCTGGGAGAACAGACCCCCAGCCAAAGCATCCCCGTCTCACAAATCTTTGCAGAACGGCACCGAAGCCCAAGCGGTGCCTCTGTACAGCTGCTCCAGCAGCCAGCACAAGAGAACAACCATTCCTGCCAGGCAGACTCAGCCTGTGGCCGTAGCTGGGCTGCTCTCCGCTGAACTGTGGGCATTTACAGGTACCTGTATGAACCAGACTGAGCTTTGGTACAGCAGGTAATTTCTTTGGTTACAACAAGAGCAAAGTAGGGATTAATCTTCCTGCTTATGAAGGGAGGAAAGTACATCTTTGTGAAGATGAAGAGCTTGTTATGAAAATAGCTTTATTCTGATTAAAAATGTATTACTCACCACAACCTCCATTCTCACATGCCTGCAACTGACTGGACACAGAGTCCTAAGCACAGATCTATCACTTCCTTCCTTGTTTTCCATCTGTACCTCCCATAGCTAGAATAAAAGCTTCAATGCTGTTATCAGAGCAGCGCTATCACTGAACCCTTCTTAAGCAACCTTGTTTAAAAATAAAAAAAAAGTGTTGATTTGATCTGCCAAGAGGAGGTAACCTCTGCAGACCACATCCATAACCTTTCTGAAACTTTCTCTCATCCCAGAGAAAAAATTACAAAGCTGAGCCATTCCAGTGCTACCTACCATGGGCTGCCAGACACTTAAGTCTGTGGCTCCCATAAAGTACAGGGATGAATAAGCCTCTTAGAGGCTTCATGCACAGGAGGAAGCCATTCATAAGCAAGTCCTATGGGGGAAAAGAAACAAAGCCTCAAGTGCTTTCACAGCCAGGAGCCTGAACAACCCTCTCCCCATCTTCTGACTGTCATCTGTTTGCCGCAGTTCTGCATCTCATGCTGTTACCACAGAGATGCACCATGGTGTCATGTGTGGTGATGCTGTGCTTCACAGGTGGAAGAATCAAGTAACTTATTGCTAAAATTCTGACAAACTACTTGAGAAAATGTCTGCAATTGGCTCTGAGAGTGCATTGCTAGGAAATACAATTCCTATCGTCACTTGACTGACACTGTCCACGTAAATGATGAGTGATGCCTTGACTTGGTAACAGACACCACCTTCTGTTTGCTTCCTAACTGTAGATGTACAAAGATACCAGATGACAAAAAAAGCATGTAAAATAAAATAATTCATTTTTTTTCAGCTACAGTTCCACTTCTAAAACACCATTGCAGGTTAAAAAAAAAATCACATTTATTCAGCTCCATTTAAAACCAGATTTTCCACATAGACTGTATCATTCTAAGCTGCAGGAGCAAGACTTCACCCTCAGGACACTTTTTCCTGAAGAGGAAGAAACTAGAAGTGAGAAGTCAGGCTTGTTATTAGGAATGGTTGTGCAAGTCCGTAGTAACCACTCTTGCTTCATCATGCAATGCTCATTTCCAAGTACCATGTAATCTTGGTTCAGAATGAGTCTGAACACTCCTGGGATGACACAGATGACAAACTGAGCGACACCATTTCTATTTCCCATCCCCCCAGCTCACTAAATGAGGACAGACTTTAAAAGCCCCCATACCAAGCAACGTCCTTCCAAGCTTCCAGGCTGCCCAGGACAGTGGTTGAGTCCATCTCTTGGGGGTATTTAAAAGACGGGTAGACATGGTGCTTGAGGACATGGCTTAGCGGTGGGCTTGGCAGCATAAGGTTAACGGTTGGACTCAATGATCTTACAGGTCTTTTCTAACCTAAACAATTCTAGGATTCCACCTCATCCCCAAAGCGCAAAAAGCAGGTGCAAGTTTTCTACAAACGCAGCAAAATCTGCTTGGCAGATAACATCCCTGAAGCTTGAGATTCAGAGATTTTTTTTTTCCCCAAACATAGGTACCGAGACAAGAGACAGAAATAGAAAAAGTGCTGCTTCCCAGGAGGTGGCATACACTCCTTAGGGATAAATAAGCCAAGTGGGGAATACAGAGCAGAGCAGCCGTGTCCACGATATGCTCACTGCCCAGGCACATGGTGGCCAGGCGGCTGTTGAAGCAGGGAGACCTGAAACGCCCTGGCTCGAGCAGGGGTTCTTCCAGCTGCCACTTAAAAAGAGCCTCCAGCAGCAGCGAGCTCTCTCGCCCCTACACCAGCCCTGGTGACGTTTCACAGGATGCACACCACAAGATGGCAGGATACACAGCCCAATTTATATTGGGGTGGGGAAGGGGAGGAGGAGAATGAAGTATTATTTTTTTTATATACACTCCATACGCTGTGTTTAAGAAGCAATATCCTCATCCTTCCCTATTAGCATGGTAAGTCCTCTGTGCTTAAAGCAGAGTCCAAGCCTGCAACACACGTGGAACTGGGAGCTGGGGCTGTCGCAACAGCAAGGCTGGACAAGGTGAACTGCACAGTCCCTTCCCCCACCCCAAGACAAAAGAGGAAGAAAAAAAGAACCATGGAAAGGTACAAAACTCAGCTTGCCCTGAAGCCCGGTATAACATTCCTGTTGTGTTCAATGCAGAAACCAATTAGCATAGTAATGACACTTGGCTACAAAAATAGCACTTTATGGCTTTCAATGTTACACCCATGTCAATAACTCGATAAAACATCCTGCAGGTTCTGCTGCTGCTACAAAATCTGTTGTATTTCAGAACAAGAATATTATAGCAGCCCCTGCAGCATTTTCTCCTGCAAATCCTGAAGGGAAGCATGACTTCCCCTTTCCCAGCCACTTCAGACTTGCTCAGGAAGGACAGAGCACTGTAGCAAGGCTAAAACCAGGTTTCCTAGCTTCCTAGAAAATCCAGGGCTCTATCATGCTGCCAATATACTTACTTGGCTTGCGAATCTTCCCATGAGAACCAGGAATTAGAATTGCAGAACACCCCGTTTTATGTAGCTGATAGTCTGCAGGGGTCCCAGATCACAGAAAACTCAAGTTCTATGCTCACCAAGCGTAGGAGCGAACATGCCCGCACGCGTGTTCGTTGCCAGAAGAGCAGTTGCGCTCGCAGCACAGGGGCGAGCCCTACACAGGGGCACAAAGGGATTGCCAGCCTCCCAAACACAGCAGTGCAGCAACTCACTCCGGTGTCCATCTCAAAGCCCACGTTAAAAGGCTTATTTCTGACTCGCTGTGGTCTAATGGCTGCTGTGCTACAGGACGGAGAACAGACTTGATGCTAAGCGCCAGCCTCCACCACACCCTACCCCTAGCTTGTCCACATCTGTAGAAAGATTTGCCACATGATGCCCTGCAAAGGACCTGTACTATGAACTGCTAAATAGCTCCTTGAAGTCATGCACATGTGCTATTACAGCTTGGTTCAAAACCCTTGCTTATCGGGCTGCCTACTGTCATACATTCAAGGAGCTGCATTTTGTTCCCCCTGATTTCAGTACATGACCTGAAAGCCCATTACAAAGATCCCTGATGACCTTTTCATTCTTCCTCCATTTTGATTTCTGTAATACACACTACAAGAGCATCTCCAAATTCAGTTCCCTTTTTTTAACCAAAAAAGGGTAATCCCCAGAAAAACTAGTGCAGTATGCAATTAAGAGATGAATAAAAATCCTCTGCAGGCTAAAATCTTACACAGAAATTTTACCAGAGTTGCTTTGAAATTAGAACTGCAAACTGCTATTACACAGAAAGCGAACAGTTTACCTAGAATGAGTAATTATGTGACATCAGGCTACACAGCAGGTCTATCTGGATGTGACTCAAGATTCATGGGCTTCTTCGCTAATTATTTCATGTCTGGTGAGACCACTGGGCTTCGGCCGGGGGAAAACCACATTATTAAAGTAACTACTCCACTATTAGCCGTGTTGGCTTTTCAGATGCAGCTAAGGGCTCTGGGCAGTATCAGCGACAGTTTAGTCTTTCCTACAAACGTCAGAGCCTGTCGCAGAGATGGAAACAGCCACTTTCAGTGCTGAAGACAGTATTTACCCCAGCCATGCTGGCATGTTACGAAGTGCCACACTAACACAGCAGTTCCAGTCTCTGTTCCATCTTTAAAAAAGTGCTGGTGGAAAAGCAATTACCTGAAAAAGGTGATTCTTTGCTGAGATGTAACACCATTTGGTGATGGTTAACGTTCCCCGTGTTGTTAGAGCTGGGAATAATCACAGCATAGCACTGCAGACAGTGGGGCTGTAAGACACTGTGACACCAGAGCCAACTTCTGTAGCTACGAGCCATCAGCCTCACAATTGTCACTTAAATACCACTGTTATTAAAAGCTTCTGAACTGTTTTACAGAGCAACTGGAGACAGATCGTTACCATCCCCAGTGCCAAGCAGCCTCAAGGTCATTTGTAATGTGGGAAAGCAGCAGTTGCGCAGCTCCCCCGCCACGCTCTGAAGCAGCCGCTGGCTGCAGCCGGAATCAGATAGCGCAGCGGAGCCCGGACAGGCAGAGCAGGGAACCTGCGGCAAGGGCTGGTTACTCCATTTCCCCTACCCGAGGAAGGCTGTCCACAGACACCGCTCAAGTGAGCATTTTAATTTTGATCAGAGACTTATTTTTGTCTAGTAAAGACAGGTCATGCATCAGCAACTGTGAGACCCACCTTGAACCTCCCACGACACATTCAAATGAAATGCCCATTAGTAAATGCTACCACCACCATCTCCTCTAGATCACACAGCATAGTTCAGTGTTGGCGAATACAATTCAGAAAGCACACCCAGAATTGCTACAGTCCCCTTTCTCCTTGTGCACCCCAGTTTCACAGGTAAAGCTGACATTTTATCTTTGTCCCTTCACTTACCCACGGGAACACAGGGGCTATGAAGAAAAACTGAATCCAGCTTCTTCATACAGCTCATTCTCAAGGGAAGCCTCTTAGCCTCACTCCATTGCTTCAGTTTAAGGGAAGAGCAGCAATCCAGGTTCAAGTTCCTCTCAGACAGGAGGCATATTTCATGTGCTGCAACCTTTCATTCTAGCAGGATTGCCTTCAAGCCCCAGTACTGTTAACGCAGAAGGCTGAGAACATACCCACCCCCTACAAATATGTGTTGCAGCAACAGCATGCTTATTTCATCCTCCTTCTCGAGGTGAGTAACCAACCCGCCTCCCCCAAACAGCCTGCACCGAGTTAAACACGGGCCTCCTATTTAGTTACCTGGAGGTGCCACTCGATCCTGGTATTTGGGCTCAAATTCACTGACAGTGAGCAACATCACTTGGATGGTCCCAATGAATATACCTGCCAGGCAACCGTAGAAGATGACATAGAAGAGGAGGATTTTAACTGCAAGAGAAAACAAACAGAAAGAGGAATCAAATCAAGCCCTTACGGCAGTCACATTTCAGGACAAAATTCCTTTGCCACTTGCAAGGAAGAGCCCAGCACGCTGAACTCAAATGGCAAGGCCTCTCGCAGAGGCACCTGTTTAACAGTGAGATTATGCCCTGATGCAGGCAGAAAATGTAAGTCGCTCCAGTTGTTTGGGGGGCTGGAAGCACAAACCCCTGAAAACCTAGAAATCCCTGAATCAGGATCTAGGATTGTAAAACATGAAGATTAAACCATGTTTAACCATATTTTAAAGGATCCCTTAGCTGACCCATCGCTACCATCAAACTGTCACAGGTGACAAACTTTCAGTGAAGCAAGTGCCCAACAGCAAGAAGCCACACAAGGGGTGTGCTCTGAATGACACCCATTCCACAAAGCTCTGGGCCTCAAAGCTATTCCCAGGAGAACCTGCAGTAAATGTTACATTTAGGTTTGCAAGCAGTCATAAAGCCTGATCTCCCCTAGTAATTCAGGCTATCGCCTCCATTAAAGACAATGGGAGCAGAATTTGGGCCCAAACTAGCTCCAAGACTCAATCTCAAATGTAGGAAAGTACTCAGACATGTCACAGTACCGCAGGTTTACCAGCCTTGTACGTCTACAAAGGCACTCCAGCACTGCTCATACCAATTAGAAAGTGAATTACATAATAATGAAAGACTGAATTTAATTTTGGTCTAAAGGGAGATGCCCAGAATAATCTGGGGGGGCAGAGGGGGGCAGTGTGGAGACGAGCCTGGAGACACAGCGTGGCTCAGAGTCCGGGTATCAGTTACCAGTTTACAAGGATTATCTCAACTGATTAACTGCACAGTAACATGCTGTACTAGGCATCACCAGGCCACCTACGGGAACGATAAGCCAGCCCATGCCAAGCAACTATATGCTAAGCAGGCTGCAGGAACAAGGAGGCCAGCACAAGAGGCCAAAGAGTACTTGAAAGAGAGCCTGCTTGATCTTGGACTGTCCTCATCTAATTGCGAACGAGAAAGAGGTGGTTTATTTGAAGAACTTGAAGTGATCAGCTACAAGGGAAGGGGAGGAAGCAGTAGGTGGGAGTATTCCTCTTCCCTCCCCAGCCCCTTTGTAAAAAAGGCTCCATCAGTGGAGAAGCCTCCCAATGAAAGCAGGCAGTTCTGGTTGTTTTCTTTTCAAGTCTATGAAAGACAGGCGAGCAGGAAGGACAGCCAGCAACACGGAGGCTGAGGGACACTGTCAGAAAGGCACTCCATCCTCTCGTCTTCCTCGTGTGCACCGGAGACAGGGGAGGTAGCCAGGGCTGGTGGGCAGAGCTGGGTGTGGTAGCGTGGTGCTCCAGGAGTTAAAAGCACTCTTTGGTATCCAGGCAGCGTAAAGCAAATGGCTGTGACGTCAGGGACGTGTGGAAATTTTTTCCAGAGCACGGTCATAGGAGGTGCTGTTGTAACAAACCAAACACTAATGCTGTTGTCTGCAGCGTAATGCCTTGAGTTTTGTAACATCAAAAGGCAAACGCTGGGAGGTAGCTTATTTAATCAGGTTCCCAGCCAGGATGCTCTTAACACCAAAGACACCTTAAAGGTCAAAACCACTCCTAGGTCTCAGAGAATACGCAGCAGGTCTAGTGACCGAGCACGAACGAGAAAGCTTCCCGCAACAGGTAGGTTTATAAGAGAGGAATCGGATCATCAGCCTGCAGATCGACTCCACAAATGGAAATCAGTCCTAGGCGGATAGGTACAGGCACTCTGGGAGAAGGACCTGGTTCAGCCTCCGCATTTGAAGCACTGCGCAGTTGCCTGGTGCCTCAGGAGCACAAAATACCTATCCATGAGCACCCACAACCCAATTCTGCTCACGTAAAGATACGGCAGAAGCCTGCTCTAGTCCGCCCGCCTGCCAGAGCTAAAGCTGGCAGCTCCGGATGTGGCACCTCCAGCTGATCCATTACAACAGGAGCTGAATTCAACATCGCAAGGGTGGCTGTGGTTGGCAACAACTGGAAGACTGTCTATTTGTGTAAAGAAAATGTTAAAAGCCTCTTAGGTGCTGCACAAATAGCACTTAGACTAATAAATACATCATGAGCATTTAATCACAAATGCGCATATAGCCATTTCCTTCTTGCAGAGGCATTAAAAGCCAATTGTTCTCTCTCGACGTGGTAAAATAACTCAGTTTCCTTTATCCAGAGAAAAGGGGGGGGAAAAAGAAAAGCCCCCCTGACGTCCGAGGCAGATGACGGCTGGGAGGGAAGGCTCCCCGACGGCGATGCTCCCGGGCCGGGCCGGGCCGGGCCAGCCGCCGGGGAAGGAGACCCAAGGACGAGACGCCCTCGCCAAAGGCGGC